CTATTACTCGATCTGCTTACTCTTTTAAATTTACTATAATTATTACTAGTCGACTAACAAGACTTCTCGTTGAAAAATAACCAAGGAAGTGTGCTGCATTTCGAAGGGGCTAACTTTAAGACATTTTTTTAAACCTACCTCGACTAACAAAGCGATCCAACTTAGAAAGGCTACTTGCACTTTTTGCCACCAACCTTACATTTGCATAATCGATGGCCATAAATTTATTGTTACACAAAACTCAGACCTCGAACATTTTTAAACACACTATGATAAGCTAAAAGCTAGTCATTACGTTGCACAGAATGGAATATTCTCCACCATATAAAAAGCAATCTTAGAAAAACCATGTTTCCTCAACCAGCTATGCTGTCCTTTATAAAAAAATAGCGGCACGCCAGGGTAGCTGGCATGATCATGTGTTGTGTGCAACCTTGTCCAGCTGATGCCTGTGCAACTTTGACCACGCAAACTTGCTGTAAAAACTGTTCGTTGCCTTATTGTTTGATACGTTGTGTGCTAATTCTGACGTCAAAACTTTACTGTCTGCGGTACACGACTTGCCAGTTTTGGCGTCAAAACTTTCAATTGTCCGTGCACCGGACAAGCAGCAATATCTTAAAACCTCAGTCTACCAGCTTTTGTGGTTTCTGAGTTGTCAACGTTGGCGCCGAAATTTCCGTGCGCCTGTATCCGAGACTCTGGCCAGCACAAGGACTGAATTTATAGGTAGGCGGAAGTATCAAATTTCAACCTCCAAACCTTCCTGGTTCTCGAGTATTAATTATGGCGCCAGAAAATTTACTTGCCCCTTCGTGAGATCTAGGCGTGCGGAGAAGTTGTATTTGAGTTTACGTGGGCAAGGGATATCGTCCTACAATTTCAGCTTCCTGGCTCTCTTGGTCCCCGAGTTACTAATTTAGGCGCCAAAACTTCCACGTGGCCGTACGTCAAGCCTGGGGGCGCACGGACGCCGAAACTGGGCCTACGAGATCACACGTGAGAATTGGGTCCGCCTTCAAAATTTCAGCTTCCAAGCTTCTCCGGTTTCCGAGTTGAAACTCCCGGATGAAAGGCACTCGAAACACATACATACATACAGACACAGACGGGATCTCGACAGTATGCGTTATATGCAACTTTTGTAACAGAAAATGCATAAAAATATGTTCCTGGCTGTCCTCATGGAAGTGCATCAGTCTGATGATTTACTAACCATGTTCTGTACCGCCGACAAGACTGAGGACCCAATAAGCCGTGCCTCGAATACTTAAAACTGGGCAACACTCAGCAAATCGACATATAACTGGTAATACTTCCAGTGGCAACAGGCCTGTAAAATTCATGATAGATGAGAAAATAATGCAATTAGCAGACATTTTTTGGGACAAAAAAAACTTGGGGTCTTCTTGAAAGTGTCTTCTTCTTTCGACCGAAAATGGATTTCTAGAAAGATTTTGTATTCAAAATTATAGGTCAAAGAACGGAAACCGGGTTAATCAGAGCCTCTTTTTTAAACTGACAGTTCGACTCAAATCCTTCTTCACAGACAACTTGATACAATCAGAAACTCATAAACATGCGTCCTTCACCTCGACCTCTTCCTGTCCTTCACTTTCCTCTTCTCCAAAAAAAACTTAACCAGATTAAAACTAGAGAAGCAGCTAGACCGGTGAAGAGCTTGAAAGGCGCAAAAACTTACTGGGATCAACGACAGCAGCGATATGGCCAAGCGCATACAGTGCACTTTTTATTTCGCTGGTTTCATGGACATCAAGTGGCACTGGTGAATCCCGCAATAAATCCAGCAGTCGGTCAGCTTCTCCCGTCTTTAGCAATATATCGCGCCCTGTTTCATGTTGCGCTAACTGGCCGTACAAATGCACCGGCATGGCTACACCAAATTTGGCACTCCTGAAGCAATCCGGTGCTTAATACCGTGTTTTCTTTGTTGCTCAGTAGTATGTGCATGAAAAATATCCCAGTAGCAAATAGAAAATACAGGTGTTAAAGGAACCGATGCGTCTGTGGGGAAGGGAAAACGCAAAAACGCAAAAACTTGGGCAAAATCTCGCCAGAATCGTTGGTAGAAAGCGAAAGTTGTTAGAAAAG